CCCCCCCCCTCCCCCTAACCTCCAAAAGGGGAATTTTCCAGCTGGTAATTTCTGCTGCGTCAACACCCAGCTCAAGGGAGAGGAGAAGAGACAAGGGGGCATTTTAACAGCAGCTCCACTTGCGAATAGCCAGCCTCAATCCCGGCTCCAGCATTAAAACCTTTTCCGCCCCCTAAAAACCAGCATCCGTGCAAGTTGGACCAAGAGTTTGTCAGGAGTGTGGTTCAAAACTGCTTGGAAAAAGGGATGAGGTAATAATACTGGTGAAGCATGTTGTATTTCTCTCTTTCTGCCTGTCTCTCTTTCTCTTTCTCCCTCTCCTCTTCTTCTTCTTTTTTTTTTTTTTTTTTTTTTTTTTTTTTTTTTTAAAAAGCCAGGCCTGTTTTGGGTTATTGTCTCCCCCTAAAGCCAGACATAGATCGCCTGGCCTTGCCTCCATTTTAATTGCAGGCTGAAATGGGGGAAGTGACCCTCTTTTTTTTAAAAAAAAAAAAAAACCAACAACAAACCCCAACAAACAAAAAAAAACCTTGAAAAAATAACGCTGTTCCTTTGGGGGGGATAGAGGTGATTTTTCATAAGGCTGTAACAAGTGCAAAAGTGGCTGGAAATGTTTTCTGTCATGCTGGGAAACTAGTGAGGTGTCCTCCCCCCCTCCCCAGAAAAAAGTGTTTGTAAAATTTGGCCGAGGGGAGAAGGAGAGGTGCTGTGAAAGGTGCTGGTAAAAGAAGGGGTTGTGCTGCTGGATTGCCTTTGTGTCTCTGTAAATAGACATGTCAGTTCCCAAAGTAATACAAGTAGTGTCTGATAACTCAATCCCAGATGACAAATAGAGAATGGAGCAGATTTTCAGGACTGTAATAGTGGGAGGATTTCTCTTTTGAAACGGAGGGAAAAAAAACGTTGGTACCTCCTGAGGAGGTTCTTCACCGGCGCATTATTGTGAAGCTGAGCGTTTGGATGAAATCCGGAGATAGAAACCAATATTTATTTATTTTTACACCTGACGGGGGAAAGATAAACAAAGGAGAGTTTAACAGCTCTTTAATGAATTCCTCATGCTTTTTATTTTGCAATCTCAATGATTCATTTGGCAAGCCTTACAGGACCGGATTATTATCAGCATTGTTTAAAGCCATGCTAATTAGGAGATGTGTTTAGCAAACAGTGGTGTTGTAGACACCTGTACCAAAGTTCTTGCATGCATTTTAATTGCATCACTGGTATCATTTTTAGCATTTAGTCACTGTAATATAGATCTAGGTCTCAGTTCTTGAACTCGATCAAGTATTTATTACAAGTGTGGATTCTCTGTGTACATACAGCAGCCCTGCTACTAATGCATTAAATGTATTTTCTCAAAAAGGGGAGGGCGTATTTTTTCTTTTTCTTTTTTTTTCCCATGTGAGGATTAAAAGGAAAAGCTACGTTATCCAAGAAGAGTGAGAAAAACATAATTTTGAGGAAGAAGCTTGCTGTGACTGGATAGCTCTTCACTTTTATCAATACCTTGCTTGAACATTTTATGTTTTTACAGCATCTTTTAATTGGAAGTAAAATTTGACTTTCCCCTTCTAAATTCCATCTAGCTTCTCTTGCTGTTTGTCAAGTTTTATATTTTGAAATCCTTAGTGATGGAAAAAAATGGGTGGAGTGTATTATTAGTCACAATATTTTCAACATGTGTTGAGGAATTATCGCTTTAAGGTGTTTTTTGGGAACTGACAAGAAATGGGTAGAGGAGCCTGTCCCATGGGCTGGAGGGAGAGCTACAAAACAGTACTTAGGGGAGCTCCCAAACGTATGTTCATGAAAATTATTGCGTGGCTTGGTACGCTGGTGGGATAACTGTAACTGAAACAGAAAACTAGTCTTTTGTTTTTGATGCAGCCTGTCCAGGAGGGGGAAACTCACTCACAGCTAAACTTCTCTCGCAGTTGTTTTCATAGACTGTATGTTAGCTTTGGTATAATTGAGTCAATTTTAGTGTGGTACCAAAAAATGGGGTATTCTAATAATCCTAACATTAGGTGTTTATTCACATACTTTAAATGCTGCTTCGTTCTAGAGTGTGTAGGATTGAGCCTTTGAAAACATGACCTGTACACGGGGTTCCTGGAGACTGGAGAAAATGGGCCACTTTCTCCCCGTGGTCTTTGTTTTCTGGGACAGTTGTACAACAGTGGATATGTTCTTCGCAAGAGGAATTTTTTTTTTTTTTTTAATAACTGGAAGTGCTTAGAGGAAAACCAGTTTAGCAGCCCCCCTTCAGCAGTACTCCGTCAAAAGGAAAAATGCCTCATGTTGGAAAGATCTGTTATTTGCTGTTAATACGCCTGCTTTTCCTCTGGTAACGTGTTGTGTTGCTGTGAGGTCGAGCATATTCTTTTTGTCTCTGCTATCCACTTGCATGGATTTTTTTTTTTTTTAGATACGTGTTTTTGAAGTTTCTAAGTAAAGTTTCCTGTCCTCCCAGCAGCAGGCTAACACCCAATCCAAACTGCTACTGCTTGCTTTTAGAGCAGAATTATTTCATAAACAGCTCAACCTTTCCCAGGACATTTTCCCCTTCATGTTCTTGCTGGTTTTCCTGGCTGCTCCAGAGCACTCTGTAACGCTCTCTAGACTCCCCCTAAATTGGTAAAAAGCATTCACAGGGGTTTTCCTTGGCTCCTGTGTGTTTAGTTTAATGGGCAAACAAAAGGGCAAAGAGAGGGCTTAGTTTAAGTCTGTGAAGAGCTACCTGCAGTTGTAATGGTTATCCCACATGTCCGCTATAATTCCCAGGAGCCAGCGGTTCGTGTCCGTTCCTGGCTGCGAGCATTACCCTAGAAAATTCTGACACTTTGCACAAAAGGATTAATACAGTGTTTGTATTTTGGTTCTGGCTTACGACCTGCTTGAATATTTTTAAGTGCGTAGCTTACCTGTGTTTTATGTGTGTGATATTTGAAACTTAAAATGTATTAATAGTGAAAGCAAGCATGCTGTGGGGTTGTCTGTAGATAGCAGGGGTCACGTTAGGCGAGAGTACAAGGACCTACCACGGCTGTGAGATAGAGGGAGGTATTTGGTCTGCGTGAAGTACTGCGATGCTACTCCTTGCCTAAGGATCCCCGTGAGCGTTTTTATGATATTTTGGTCAAGTACAATGACAGTCAGGACTCCGGTGTTAAAATTTGTTGCTTCAAAACTTTACTTTATTCCTTCTTGGGGACTTTTTGTTTCACTAGGCGATATGTTTGTGTTACAGCCCCCTTAAATACAACCTTCAGTAGTTGGTTTTCTCCATTCCCTCTAGACCTTTAGTCCTTCAGGCAGGATGAGAAATTAAAGCGTGTATCGCTTGTTGCGGGACTTCTTTCACTTGAGATGCAAGAGGAAAGAATCTCCAACTTCCCTGAACGGTTCAGTAGTTTTCTGGTTCGTGCTGCCTTGGTGTATTTGGATGCACAAGGATGTCCAATCTGGAGGGATAGCTGCTTGGGATTCCGTTCCCATCCTGTAGCTGTTGATCGAACGTACTGGTATCGTAACTGCTTTTTATCAGCCTCCCCTTCTGTGAAGCAGGGGTGCCGGGGTTCTCTTGGCTCTTCCAAAACATTTTCTATTATACTGATGAAAAATCATAGTTGTGCTAAAAACAATTATTCTTCATAAATGCAAACTGGTGTGAAGTCCTTGCTGAATTTCCTATGAGATACGGTGGAGTTCAGAGGCTCGTGGGTGGGGTTTTCTGTCCCTTACCAAGTTAGCTGTGGTGCAGTTATTTTCTGAACAGTTGCTTTAACTTTCTTTCATACCCATATATTTAAGAAGCATCAGACTGCTGTTGAAATGTTGGTTTTGAATAGCTTCCGAGTGCTTCGCAGGCAGGAGGAGATCCTTGACAGTAATTCTAATTAGATGGAAATGTGTTCCACTTTGCGGTGTTTTGTTGCGCGTAGGTAAGGATGTACGTGTGCATTGGAACCAGCAGTGGTGCAGCTGCGGAGAGGAACAGTAGCTTTGCTGAAATGTAACAGGTAGATGCCGAGTTGGAGCTGAAACTCACCTTTTTGCCTTGCATTTTGGGGATGTGGCTTGCTTTTATTCCAGCCCATGCAGTGGTGATCCTTTCTGTCCTGTTACTCACTTGGCTTGTGTATGCACTCAGGAAGAAGAGCATTCTGCAAATGTTGGAAGTTGCCTAGCATTCACTTTACAGTAAAACTGAGTTGGGGTCATGGTAATGGAGGGAGGCAGCAAGACGTCAGAAATATTCTACAAACACAGCTACTAGCTTGTGTATGGATTAAAATAAACTTAGTAACAAGAATGTCAGAGTGTGTGCCAGGAACTTAGCTGCTTAAGAACCCTACATAGAAAAGTGACTATAAGGAATATGTTTATACCTGTGTATACTTAAATATGTAGTTATCTTTCCTAATTATTTCCTCGCCATGTGTTGAACAAACTGCTTATTCCGTCCAAGCGAGTTTGCTTCCTGGTATTTCTCACCTTGTGAAAAACATCTCTGCAGAAAGAGTTGATATTTCAGGCGGTTAGCTCACTCTCTTTGAGGAGAGGGTTAAACAAAATTTGCACCTTCTGCACTAATACACCATTGGAGGAAATACCTTTCTGACTAGTGCTCAAATCATGCTACAAAACAGAAGAATTGATGGTCTGTATTAGCCATTAGGTGCTTAAAATACCCAAACCCAAAACCAACTAATTTAAGTACTGATGAACGAAGTACTCGGGACGCAGTACTCCTAAAAGTCCTGCCACTGTAGTATTGGAGAATGAGGTGGTGGCTAAATATAAAGCTAGCTTATTGACTTCCTTCTTATTACCACTGTATCCTTCTTGGCTTCACTCCACCTTTTTTTTTTTTTTTTTTTTTCCCCTTAATAATAGTTGATCAAATCTGGATTATGAGATTTCTACTAAAAAGTAAAAAGGGATACTTACCCAAGGCACTAAGTGCTTGTGCCGCGAATTACACAAACGAAATCAGATTGTTCACAGAGCACCTCATATGTTATCTTTAGCTTTGCACTGGTTGATTTTTTACTCTTAGATTATTCCTGACTCCTTACGTGTCTTTTCTGTCTCATAGGTGCTCTTTCCCTCGGTTCCTCCCACTGCTATACTTCTCTTTAAAAATTACCGAGTGATTCTTCCTCCTTCTTTGGCTCCCTCCCTTTTTATGTACTGAGTTTGGGAACTTTAGCAAAGATCCCCTAGTTAAAAAGCCAAAAACCAATGAGAAGGTTTTGGGGGAACCATTCTTCAGGGCAATTCCCAGTGTGATAGGCTTGCAGTTCTTTAATCCCCCCCCCCCCCCCTTTTTTTTAAGATGCTTTTTATGTTGTTTTTTTGGCCAATAGATGCACAAGGGCAAAGTCATCTTGGTTAGATTACTTTTGCGACTTTTTTTTTTTTTTTCTTTTAAGTGGAAGCTTAAGATCTTGTAGGCTTTAATGGCACTTGGACAGGTTAAGTGTCAATACTAGCCACAGGCACTCGGATTTTTTCAAGGTGTTTTTTAATTTCACTGCTAGTGTGGCAGATATATCTGTAGCTCAAATCTTACATTTTTTGATATCACCAGACTTCTCAAACCTGGTACCCTGTAAGGTACTTGCTATTTAAGTGCTGGCTAGCTCTTCTGCGTTCTTACTGCGTTCTGCAAGGTCCATGGTGGTGGGTAGAGTTGGATTGTCTCTTGGTGCAGCCAGGTGAGAGAAAGAGAGGAGATCAGAAATACGGGAATGATGTGAGCAACTGTTTCTGTACCATGATGGAGCTCTCTATGATGGAGAGAGAGGATGAAGAGACAAGCGCATGGACAGAGTTGGAAGTTGCGGGGAAATGAGTAAGTGAAATGGAGAGGAAATACAAAGTGCAGTGGAAATGTTACTGCAAGTAAGCATTTTGAACTAGAAATACACCTAGTGCCCTGTAAGGAAAGGTCCATCCTGTTGTATTAGCAAATTGTTCCCAGTTGGAATATTATATTTTGGGCTGCATAGCTTTTACAGGCGTGGAGGATAAAGCTTTTACCTTCTGTTAGGTATTTGCATCTTTTTCTGTACCTTTGTGGATTTTCTTTTTTCAAAATTTTTACATTCTTGTAAGAGGAGCAAACTGTTTTAGTTAGTACATTTGTGTACACTGCTCTTTAACTTGAGGATGACTCTGGCTTTTGAAGGCTGTGATTCAGTCGAGTTGGGTGGGAATAGAACTCAAATATCTTACTTTTGTATAATGCAGACAGATAATTTTTCTGTAACCTTAGGCAAATATTTTCGTTTGGAGGGGAATCACTGTAACTATAAGGTTAGATTAATACTAACCTCATTTAAAGTGTGTGGATGGCAAGTGTTGCAGAAACATTAACTGAAACCTTACGATGTTTACTAGAGCAGACTATTGTTAAAATAGTTTGAAATCCTCATATAAAGTACTGTTTTTTACAGTGACTTCTCCAAAGCACTTCTGTCTGGAAGCGTAGTCAGAAGTTGTTAATAGTCTTAAAATTTGTATGTTAAGCTCTTTCTTTAACTTAACACAAGGGCTAAAGAATTTTTCCTATATGTCAGAACTTATTGGAATATATTTCCTATATATCAGAATATTTCTTGTTCAAAATGGCAAACAGTCTTGTAAATATGCAATTATTTTAACTGTGGCTTCTAATTATATGACACTGAAGGTTTTTGTATTAAGTTAAAGTTTAGATTTTAATTTTTGCCTCCTATTCTTTCCCTTCCCAAATACAGGACATCTGACGAACCTGTTGGAGCTTGTTACCAGAGACCATTCTCCTCTATTCATTAAATCATGCTGCACTATCCAGCTGTGAAACATTGTGACGTTTATTTTTGCTAACAAGAAACATTTTCAAAGATTGGTAAGTTCTCAGCATTTAAAGATATTTTTGTAATGTGGCAAGGGAAAGAGAAAGAGTAGCTGGATATATATCAACATTGCCATGAGGACTTACAGTTCTTCATAAAATTTGACATAACATTGATAACAAAGGTTCGTTTAGAAATCTTACCCAACTGCAAAAGTTGAAGAAATACCTCTGGCTATTCTCCTGCTCCTACCTTGTGGTAGGGCTGCCTCCATTAATCATGGTCACTTGGTTCTCATCTGTTTGATTGGAAGAGGAAAACAGGTGCAGAGCTCAAAGCAGGAAGAAAAAATTAAGAGCTCTGCAAAACTGTATAGGTCTCAGCTTTACCATTCTTACCAGACTGTTCTGGCTCATTTTGCAACGCTGGGACAGAGGTGTAAATGAGAGTCTTAACAGTAACAGTCCTAAGTCTAAGTGAAACTACGCATTACTTTTAAGCTTTTCTAACAAAGTAATTTCCCATGTGTCTGTGTTGGTCTGGCTCCCTCCCTCCCCCATTTTATTTTTTTAACTGTCTAAATAACAGAACTAAAAGGAGCTAGCCAAAACAATTGCTATGGAGAAGCAATCAGAATTAGAAAAAGGCAAGACTTGGCAGTCTGAAATAGAAATTGAGAACAAAGTCAATGGTATTTGCTTCACTTGGGTCATACTTGTTTTCAAGATTTTCACAGTTCTGCTTGTTGCCATAAGAATGCTTGGATTTTCCTTATTACTTCATTTGTTTATTAGATATGTTATTTCACCGTTTATAATGACATTAGTTAGTATTGGAAAAGCTTTCTTAATTTTTATCTTCTGATGTTTTCTTTCACAATCTGTTACTACAGAAGGTCAGTCTTGAAATCAACAGTATTGATTTATTGCTTATTTTCATTAAGAGAGCTAATCTGTATATTAGAGATGTCTGAAATGCAGAGATCAGAAATATATGGCAAATACTTTGCTATAACAGCTAATGGTGTATAAACAGTATAAATTTTTGAATAAAGTATAGTCAAAGTTTTAGTTGAAGTTAGGTGTTGTAAGCGTAGTGAATATGTTATTCTGAAGAAAATAAGTCTGTTTTGTGTAAGAAAAACAGGTATACAAGATGATAGTAATAGTTAAAGGTTTCTTATCTGTGAGGACACTATGTGTAGATGAACTATTCCTATTCTTTATACGTTGTAATTGTAAACATTAATGTTTTATCCCAGAAGTCTGTCTGTGAATGTGCCTTACCTAGGCATCTATATTTTATACAGAATATTCAAAATCTTGGGATTGTTTAGTCTCTTAACCTTGAATGGCATCAGTCAGTAGAAACTGGTCATTAAACATTTCAAGAGGAAATTGTCTTGAATAATCCATTGCAAACTTGATTTTTTTTCAGGAGTTGTAGTGGTAGCTTTTTAACCTCAGTATTTGATAGGTCAGATAAGGTGAATTAGTGCCCTTCAGGCCACAAATGTCTCTTTAAAAAGTCATTAAAGTGAGAATGTTTTGAAAAGTTACCAAACAGGAAACACTGTTGTTTCAAGGATCTGTTTGAAGTTTTAGTATCTAAAATTAGAATTTTTCTTCCCATACTTTTAAGGCGTAATTCTTCCTTCTATTATTGCAAAAAACAGGCTTTAATTACCTGCAATGTTTTGATATGCTTTGAGTTAACTTTTTGGGGGGGTTCGTTAGGTCATAAATAGGGGTGTTACAACTGTGAGTTTGGAGGGAAAGGACTTAAATGTACCACTGTTATACAGTAATCTTGTAGTCTAATGCTAATAACTTCTTCTGGTTTTGTTTTTTTGTCGTAGTTCTGCCTTTCCCCTACAAGAGTTCACACCAGTGCTACTGGAAGGTCATAGAACGGTGCACTACCTGTGCTGCCCTAGGGCTGTTGATGTCCTCACCTATAGTAGGAGAAACGCTAGACCTGGAACCCAGTTTGTTACTGGTAAGAAGTAATTGTCTTGGATTTTTTTTTTTATTTTTTTTATTTAATATTAAAGTTTGCATGCTTTCTCTAACAAAATCAGCAAAAACGTCTTCCCTGCTTATTACTTGAAGAACACTGTAGCAAAATGTGCATCTCTGGTCTCCCCCCCCCCCCTCCTATTTTTAACTTTACAGTTTCTAAATTTCTAATTCTAATATCTAATTGCCCTCCTTTCAAAATGTGGAGGCTAACAGTTTTCCGTTAGCTTTCATTTTCAGACCTGGTTTTCTCTCAAAATTCTTTATGCGCTGTCAGAGCTAATGAAGGTTAATAAAAGGATTTTTCTAAGATACCTTCAGAAATCCTGTCTTTTGGTTGCACTTTTGTAGTGTCCAGCTTCTGTACACTATAGCTGGCCCCGTAACTTCAGGTAGATGGTTTGATAGGTCAAAGGCCAAAGCCAAGTCTCTGGTTTAAAGTTTTGGAGTAGAGAGTGAAATGTTTAATGATAGCTCCCTGTTATTTTATTGCTTATGGGAGTTAAGATTTTGCTTGTGTTTCCTGTTTGGATTGCAGAAACAAAGCTTTGATGATATGACTGACTAGAAGCATGCAGTGTTTTGCGTGTCGTTATTCTTTTTGCTGAAATTGGCTTTCTTTTAATTCCTAATTGCATTTGGATCTATCTATTTTCATGGTAGAAGCAATTGTAAACTGATGACATGGTCTTAAACGTATTTCCTGACTAAATCTAACCTGGACTGATGGGGAGTTGAAGTCTCTTTGCCTGTCCTAAGAACCAGGGGTTCGAGCAAGTGATTTCTTTGCTGGTGTGTTACAGATACTGAAGGTGTAATGCTTGCCCTGCTGCTGCTGTTTGAACTTTGCTCATGGACTTTCTGGATTGTAACTGCTACAGAGAGGCTAACTGGAGATGGTGTTTTAATGCTGTCAATGGTGGTGTAGCATTGGCTTGAAATTGGAGAGAAATTTTAGTCAATCCTCATCAGGCAGATGTTAATTGAATACTTGTAGGGGCTTGGGGCAGGGGGGTTGCCCTACAGTCATAGAGAATTGAGTGGACCTCTCAAATTTGATAATAAAAATATAACTAGTATTTTTACTTCAGTTCACTGAAAATCGTTTGCCTTCCAGATTTTTGTCCTTTCTGTAATTCTGTAGTATTTCTCAAACTGAATGGTGAAACTTTTTAATTTTTTTCCTGTGGCTCCTAACCCATAAGGATGAACAGGCACTGTTGGGCTGTAATAAAACATTCTCATCCCCAGTCATAAGGGAAAAGTGGTACGGTGTTTTTCTTGTGAAACCGTGAGTTGTGAGTAACCTCTTTGGCCCAAGGGTCTGGTTTGGTCTGTTTACAAACATCTGCCTGTTTCTCTTTGAATTCAGAGTTGTGGTTGGAATGACCAACTTAAACTACGAATGATCGGTTTCATGAATCAGAATAGGGTAGAAGAGTTTCTTTTTTGGCAACTGTTCATTTTCATAAGCTGTTACTTGCATCTACTTTGAACAAAGCTGAACATAAGAATATAATTTTGGGGTATCTAGTATCAAAAAATTAACTTTTCTGGAATTGTGTGCTCTTCTTCAAACACACTTAGGAGAAAACACTGTACTTCTGGAGATTTGTACTTGTAAAGCTCATGAGCAGTGTCTTTGCAGGGAGTTATCATCCATTAATATCCTGAGTCTTCTGCTTTTTCTCCCCTTTAGGAGAATAAGTATAGGTACCGTCCTTTTGAGTTGCTAAGGTTACGTTGGGGTTTTTTGTACTTCATTCTTTTCAGCCCAGGGCACATGGATAGGAGGAATCCTATGCATTTCTGTTGTCTTTAATTGGATGAAAGTGAAACTCGTATACACACTGTGTCTTGTTGTGCAAGGAGGCATTTCAAGCCCAATCTCACCTTACGGAGCTCCTTTGCAGAGGAATTTAAAAAATGTTGGAATGTCTTGGGAGTGGAGACATGGACAGGACACAGGGGAAGCAGAGAAGTGGGGTGTGTTTGTTGGTTTTTTTGTATAATAAACCATTGGAGTGAATTTGAGTTCTTCCTTAATCTGTTTTTACTTTTCTCTGAACGGAGAGGGGGGAGGAAACAACACATTTTTGGTTAAATTCCAATTGGCATGTTTACTCTAGGGAGCATAGAGTGGCTGGTGGAGTGCACTAGTGAATAGTTTGGTACTCTATAACTTGTGTCCTTAGTATTAAGCGTAGAAACTTGTTTAGACAATTGTAACAGACTAAATGACATGTAGTTTAAATTTTTCGTTCGCTTATATTCTGAGAGCACAAAAAGTAAACAAACAAACAACCCTACCAACAACAAAAAACCCCTCTAGTCTTTTTCTGCTCCCCCCCACCTCCCTTTTCCTTCTGAGTTTAATTTTGTCCCCACTATTTCCCAGAGGACTGTACTGTAGAGGCTTTCATGTGTGTACTCCATTTCTTGTCTGTGGCTTTTTGTCAAAATTCATATAAGGCGCTGAGTTTTAGATGCAACAAATTTGTACCACTTAATTTTACTGGTGTTAAGATTTTGGTCAGCAGACTTATTGTGGGTGCGTATGCTGAGAGGTTGGCTTTGTAAGTATTACTGGTTACTCGTTTTTAAAACCTTTCCAACAGTAGGTGAAGACTGTGTTTATTTAGACTCTTATGTCACCAGGTGATGTTTTCATGTTCAAATAACTGTACTGATAGTGCAAAAGAAAGAGTTTTCAGAGATGCTATATTTGTAGAACTAGGTTCATTCTAGCTAGGTTTAAAGATTATATAAATTATTAATGCTTACTTTAAGACCAGGTTTTTGACAACATGGAAAGTAAAAAGCTGGCCCGTATCTTGACAGAAGTTTGCATGAAAGAGATTATTAAATCTGCTCATGTTTTGTTCTTTTTGCTGTTACATGCAAGTGTTGTTTGTTTAGGGACAATTTTTTTTTTTTTAGTTATTTTTGGAAAAGTAATAGACTTGAATTACTGTAGTGTCTGTGAATTGACTTATGAAAAAAGCCTGATCTGCTACAATTTATTTTGTGGAAAATCTACAGATGAGCTTTCATGGTTCATTGGCTTCTTGGAAAGCTGTGTTGTGGCCATGTGCTGTCATCGCAGGCCCAGGCCTAAAGGATTTTAGTAGGTGCTCAACTTTGAAATCCTTCAGTGTACTAAAAAGACCCGAGATAAAAAATACATCATTAATCTTTGAGGTCTGATTCTAAAAAATCTCCACGGTTTATTCCATCTTTACCAGGCTTCCAGTAGAAGTTTGAAGGCTACTGCTTTTCGAAGAAATCTTTCCACAACATCTTTTAAGTGGAGATAAATATCGTTACCAGGAAAAGGGGAAAAAAAACCCCAACCATCCCAACAACAAGCCACAAAACAGCATGTAAAATTGGAACACAAGAGCACAGGGTTTTGAAGCTTCCTGAATTTTTAACTACTAGCAAATTGCCTTAAATTTAACTTGGATTAATTCTCTAGTGATCCTTGACATTAAACGGATGTTCTGGTTTGACATGGGTAGACAGAAAACTAATTAATTCCTCTGAATTTGAGGCATATTTAATTTTCTCCCCCAAAGACCTCTCATTTAAAAGGTACAATGCTGTGACAAATGTTGAATGTGGAACAATGTGTATAAAGTAGCAGACCTTTAGACAGAGGAAGATCAAGACATCTACAGTAATAATTGCTGGTTTGGAAGATGTTAAATTTTATTGATTAGACTGAACATGGGAGTATCTACATCATTGCTTGCATACTTGAAAGTGCTGTAACGTGCCCACCTGTCAGTGGAAAGGATGCTGCTCTTTGGTGGGTGTCTTCCCCATTCATCTCTCTTGTCTCTTTATACTTAAAGTACTTTGGAACAAGGACAAGTTGTCTTCCCTTTGTGTAGAGGAATGTGTATTGTCATTATTTTTACTTGTGTTCTTATATTCATCATATTTTAGAATGTCAGGTATTTTTGCTTTCTTGTCCAAAAGGCACCTACCCACCCTCTCTCTGCTCTTGTCCCCAATGTCCTTGGAAAAGTGGGCAAGTAACATACAAGGACTGTATGATCTTACTGTAATGACACGCTTTTGTTCATCCATGGCTTGCCTGGAGGGTGTCTTCTGTCAAGAGCTTGGTGGGTGGGAGGGAGGCCAGTAAGGAATCTTGCATAGATTTGTGTGTGTGTGTTTAGTAGAAATCCCTTGATAGGAAATAAAGTCAGAGAAAAGCTATTTCCTAAAGAGGCTAGCATGTGCTTCATCCATAAGAAGCACCAGATGAGTCAGAACCTCAACTGAACCTCAGACTGGTCCAGTCTAAACCAAAGGTAGCAAGAGACGAATATTTTAATCTGGGTTTCTGCCACAGGCAGCTTAAACAAAGGACAAGGTTTATCTAAAATAGACTGTTACCAACAGTGAGGGGGAACCCAGCTCACTGAAGTAAGCTGAATAAATATATGAAATAGTAAAGAAATAAAATCTCAAGGAATCAGTATAATTTCCAGGTGAAAAACATTCAAGAAGAAAAGCTCTTGTTGCATAAATTCACAAAACCAGGTGAAGACATTGACAGATACTCCTGATGCTAATCTGTATTAAATTGAGGAAGGGAAAATCGTCTTTGCAGGAGATTTCCCGCCCCCCTCCCCCCTGCACTGATTCCAGGGAGTTGGTATCTTGGAATATGGATTTTGATACCCATGAAGGAACAGCAAACGGAAATGCCATATCTGAAACCTTCTGATGGCTTCGTAATTGTATGCTGTGAGGTTTTCTTGCGTCTTCCTCTGAATCATGTGGATATGGCAGCTGTTGAAGACAGGATTGGTGATGGACAACTCACTTTATCCTATGTGGCAATTCATATTTCCTGAGGGGACTAAGCTGACTCTTCAGCTCCTAAAAGTAGATGCAGTAGTGGTTTCTGGAATAAAGACAAAACTGAACTGTCATTCTGCTTTAAGAGGTGGTTCTCTCAAAAATGAAGACATGGGAAGTGGTGGCAGCCACCTTCAGAGCCTGGGTTAGAGAGCTGCTGTGCTGGCTGGTTCCATCACAACCTTTTCAGGCCAAACACCTGAAAAATCAATTCGTCCTCTTTTTTTTTTTCTTTTTTTTTTTTTCCCCCCCCCCCCATTTTTTGTTTTTTTTTTTTTTTTTTTTTTTTTTTTTAATTTATTTATTTCATTTATTTGTGGTGGAGATGGCTTCCGTGTGAGAATTTGATTTGAGGTCTCCGGGCAGATTTCAATGGTAAATGGGTAGTGTTGTTCAGATAATGTAGAGCTATGCTATTATTAACCTCTTCCAGTTCAAATAAAAAAAAAAAAAGAATAGCTTCTTTGTGTGTTCTGTGCTTAATTCTGTAGAAAAACTGTATGGATTTGAAATAGATGAACACCAGTTCAGCCTGTTTATGTTGCAGGAAGACGGTCCTTCCTCTCTTGAGGGAAGTAAATGCTTCTCAACGATCAGGGACCAGCTGGTCTTGCAAATTAGCATTTCTGACACTGCCGAAGAGACAGCTCCATTCTTGCGGAACTGGAGAAGCTTGTGCAGGCAATCTTGCGTAACTTGAACTTTTGAATCATCAGGTGGCTCTCTAGAAGAAAGGTCCTGTGTCACGTATGTTCTGTGGGCTGAGAGGTTGTTTTTTAGCCAATGGTGTTGGCCAAACTGTAGCTATTTTGCTCCTGTAGATGACAATAATAGCACAGACTAGGGGAAGGGGGCAGAGGTCTTGGGGATCTGTGTTCCACAGTACAGGAAACCCACTTGCATGTGTCAGGAAACTTGCTTAATCATGGCTGTCCTAGGACTGCCCACTGCTGTGAGCCTATTTGAACAGATGGGACTGAATTTGTGTTTGAACTTGATGTATGTTAGAAAGTTGATTCAAGCTCACATCAGCCTCCTTACTGACAGTGCTTATATTTAACCATGTATGCTTTAAGACTGTAAGACCTCAGAAGTACAGTGATTTGGGTTTTATCAGCAACCACCAGTAGCCTAAATCCAGGCTTCTGATGTGTGCACCTGCCCATAGGTACATCAGAATTTGGTCTTGTCAGTATGTTGTATGTTGTCATGTGGACCCACATATTAATTTTACAGTTGGAACATCCTATATTGGAACAAATTTGAGTTTTTGAGAGAAAGGAGTAGATATCCTTCATGTTGTGTGGCAGCTTGGCGCTCTTAATCGGTCAAACCATTAAACCACTGTTAGATGGCATATAAATCTTGATAGAAAGTTCCGAATAAGTGGTATAAGCTAGATAAAATGGCAGAAAGTAACACCAAGGAATTTGCAAAGCTGTGGCAGCAAAGGCAAGTATGGAGTTGCAAAGGTAGTAACTGCCGAGGTATGGTGTTGCAGGGAGTACTTCATCGGTCTGTTCTGGTGCTGCCAGCGTCCATCCTTAACACTTTAAGTGTTGTGAACTTGAAGTCATCTCGCTTGAGAGACAGAACGTGTTGATACGCCTGATAGCAGTGAAGCGTTACCTTGGGAGACGAAGGGCAGGGCATTTCTGTTGGTGTTGAATGGACAACAGATTAAGCTGTGTGGCAGGAGTGACTTACTGAACACCATGAGAAATCTGTGTATGCACTCGTCCATGTTGATGTATTACTTCTCTCATATTTGTACTTGGCAGGTGTGATAAAGTTCAATCTGAAAATATTGGTGCTACTGATTACTGTCAACATATCCACACTTAAGACCTTTTTTTCTGGTTTGGGGTGTAAGCGGAGGATAATTGGAGCATAACTTAGAAGACATGGGTCTCTGCCATGCTGCTGGCACTAATTAGCCTTTTTTTGGATAACACTGTCAAATTTTATGGAAGGTGATCAAAAGTCCCGTGAATTCTTCTCAGCTTGATGGACACGTTGTTATTTTGGTCATAAGCATCCTTTCTAAACATTAATGTTTAAGTGATTATTAGAATTTCTCTACCCAATATCTTAGGGTGGTTGTGGGGTAAACTTGGAGATGTAAAGCCAAGGAAATAATATGTTTTATTGCAAAGTTAAAAATCTTGTGCTTCTAAGTAGTTAAGCTTCAAATAGCATTAACTGCATAGTTCTGATATCTTGCCAGTTTAGTTTGGGTGGGGACTTAAAATTTTGTGATCTGTGGTCTTGGATTTGCTTATTGCTCTTCTGACTCGAAAACAGTATTTATAGCCCCTCAACGGCAATATAGCAAGGGAAATAGCTGGTTTCAATTGGCTTTTGCTGTTTGAGGATTTCAGCTATTCAGTGTGCTACATGTAATGCTTGTTCCCTTGAGGAAATTGTGTTACAGAGTGCTCTTCAATAGTTTGTCTCCATCAGCATGGTTTCAAGTGTAGTACCTCTTTCAAAACCAAACTTTACTGAACCCAAATAGTAAAAACTGACAGCTGTTTTACCCAAGTAACTTAAGACAGGTTTTCTTACAAGTCTGTAGTAATTTAAAGAAATGTTTCTCTGGGATGTTATGAGCCACTGGAGGATTGAGTTTCAAATCTAGTCCCTTTTAACGTAAATTTTTTGAAGTCTGGTAAAAATAAGCTGCATTGTGTAATGACCGTGCAGTCTTTCTAGGCAGCAGTTGTATTTTGTGACAATCTTTCAAGAGGAACCTGGTACTTAATTTGGTTCAGCTTGGGGTTTGTCTCAGTCTTTGAAGAACGCGTCTGTAAGCCTGTATGGGATTTTGTAATACTGTCATTTCCTTCCCCATGCAGGACTTGTGGAAGAGGAAACACAAAGATTTCCAAATGAATAACCGAAAGGAAGATATGGAGATTGCTTCCCACTACCGTCATCTGCTGCGTGAGCTTAACGAGCAGAGACAACATGGCATCCTCTGTGATGTTTGCATTATAGTGGAGGGGAAGATCTTTAAGGCTCACAAAAACGTTCTGCTTGGAAGTAGTCGCTACTTCAAAACACTGTACTGCCAGGTACAGAAAACCTCTGACCAGGCCACAGTCACCCATTTAGACATTGTAACTGCACAAGGCTTTAAAGCAATCATTGACTTCATGTATTCTGCACACCTAGCACTGACCAGCAGAAACGTCATTGAGGTGATGTCAGCTGCTAGCTATCTGCAAATGACAGATATTGTACAAGCCTGTCACAATTTCATAAAAGCAGCTCTTGACATAAGCATAAAGTCTGATGCCTCGGATGACCTCGTTGATTATGAACTTGGAGCCCCTTCCAGCAGTAGTACGGATGCTTTGATTTCAGCAGTCGTGGCTGGCAGGAGTATATCTCCCTGGTTAGCTCGGCGAACAAGTCCAGCAAACTCTTCTGGAGATTCAGCTATTGCCAGCTGCCATGAAGGAGGGAGTAGTTATGGAAAAGAGGATCAAGAACCAAAAACAGACAGCCACGAAGACATTTCATCCCAGTCTCTTTGGTCTAGTGACATGGGCTATGGGTCTTTACGTATCAAAGAGGAACAGGTTTCACCATCACATTATGGAGGGAGTGAACTACATTCTGCCAAGGATAGTGCAATACAGAATGCGTTCTCAGAACAAGGAGTAGGGGATGGCTGGCAACCCACTGGGCGCAGGAAGAACAGAAAAAATAAAGAAACTGTGCGGCATATTACGCAGCAAGTGGAGGACGACAGCAGGGCAAGTTCTCCAATGCCATCTTTTTTACCTGCCTCAGGCTGGCCGTACAGCAGTCGAGACCCAAGTAAGTCATTCTTCCGATTTTCGTGGTTGAAGTAAAGAATGTTGAGTTAATTAGATCTGTTTATGATATGATCTTACCAGTCTCTGAAATCTATTAGCTTGCCAGAAACTGAAAAATGTAGAAGCCTGTGTTGCCAGCAATCAAAAGAACCAAGTACTGTACAGTTCAGTCAGGAACCTTGGTGTCACGGCATTGCAGGCTGGTTCTCCTGTGAAAGAAGTTGGTAGTTTTGTTTTGGCCTTGAACATAGAATGGCATAAATCACCCCCAAAACACCATTATAATTCTTGGAATTAATGAGAGAAAAGGTTGGAATTTATTTTAGCAGGTGTGCAAACTGATGTCAAGGTTGAAGAATTTTCCTTGCACAGTATATTGATGATGTAATTACAGCACACACAGGTGTAATTTAGTCTTAACGATACTATCTTCAGTACTTCCTGATATTCAGGTGTCACTTTCTCATGTGTAAGAAAACCACCAGAGCTTGTTGCTGGTAATGGCAAAATAAGTGTTTGGTAAATCCTAAGAATAATGTGGTTTTTTTCTGGTACTACTAAGGCTTAAAATGTCTTTTGATGTGTGACTACTCATAGTCTGAGATGAGTGGCTGCTTTTGAAGTGTATAGACAGGGAGAAAAATGTTTTCTTGACTTCTTTTGAATCTCCAGTAGTTATTTTTCTGTCTCAAGGTAACTCCTATTTGATTCATTAATCACTGGCAATTAGTAGATCCAGGAATGCTAGTGATACAGGAGTTTGGGTGTTTTTTTCCTAAGGACTTTAAGGGAGTGTGGTATTAAACTCCCTCAAGCTGACTTGAAGAACTTTGTGCTGTGAGTTAGCCTGCGTTTCATTGCATACCAGAATCCAAGTCAGCCAGGAGAAGGGCGTGTGAGATTATATACCCTTATGTTGCCAAATGCGGATGAAAAAAGCAATATAAATAGTACTGAAAGTCTGAAGAGTCTTTATGGGCTGAAAAAGGATGTTTAAGTTGCTTACATACTGAAGTTTAAATGCGGTTTTCATTGAATGGGTAACGCTCTACAAATGTCTTTTAGATTTATTATGTTTTACAGTTATCTGCTGCAGCAAGCTTGCATGTAATTATTTTAATTGGCTGATGATAAAATCTGAACAACGTCAGTTAGGAGAAAAATGAGACATAACTTAAGATAACAGTGATTTATGACGAATCTTGTTTTTATAATGCATGTATTTTAGAATTGTTTTGAATGAAGATTCAGCACGGATTGCCTGGTGTACTATTCGCACGCAAATATTTTTCACTTTCACGGCATCTCATAAAAACAGCTCAATCACTTGTACTGTCTGTAAGGTGTGTGGGCTTCGGACAGGTATATGAAGTAAACCACCCATGCTGGAGTGACTGCAGAAACAGAACTGCAACTCTGATCCTTTTAGCAAACTGGTTATAGACTGAATGTCTTTAAATTACTGAAAACAGTGCAAAATATAAGAGATTGTATTACTGGAAGCTGAATGAAGTTTAGATTATTTAATTCCTAATTGTTAAGGAATTAAATAGAAGTGGCCTTTTTCTTTACAACTGTTTGCAGATGAGAGGAAGATGGTTGCGGGTGTTGACTCAGCGCAGTGCTGAGACAACGCATCAGCAGGCACAATCAAATTATTTGTTCCAAATTTTGTCTTAAATGTGGTTTCCAGTTGTCATTGTTTAACCCCAGCCAGCAACTAGGCACTATGCAGCCGCTCAGTCACTCCTCCCACTCCCAGTGGGATGCAGGGGAGAATTGGGGGGAAAAAAAAAAAAAAGGAGAACTTCTGGGTTGGGATAAGAAAGATTTAATAACTAAAGTAAAATAAAATGTAATACTAACAATAATAATAACAATATACAATAATAATTGTAATGAAAAGGAATATAATAAAAAATAATTTTAAAAATTAATAAAACCCAAGAAAAGACAAGTGATGCACAATGCAGTTGCTCACCACCCTCTGACTGATGCCCGAGCAGCAATCTGCCCCTCCCGGCCAACTCCCCCCAGTTTATATACTGAGCAAGATGTGCTATGGTATGGAATATCGCTTTGGCTAGTTGGGGTCAGCTGTCCTGGCCATGCTCCCTCCCAGCTTTTTGTTTGTGCACCTGCTTGCTGGCAGCCTACGGGAAACTGAAAAATCCTTAACTTATGATAAGTGCTACTTAGCAACAAGTAAAACATCAGTCTGTTATCAACAGTATTCTCACACTAAATCCAAAACACACTGTACCAGCTACTAAGAAGAAAATTAACTCTATCTCAGCCGAAACCAGGACACCAATAAAAGAGGTGTTTCTAATGGTGGGAAAGGGGAAGCTGAATGGTGGTGGTTGAGGGAATAGTTTCAATATTCCACTAGTGCTGGTAAAGCAAAAGGAAAAACTGAATAGCAACACTTCTCATTGTCTCACTGTCCAAAACGAGAGCAAAGCCAGAACCAGACAGACACAGGGGCTACATACATTGGCAGTGGCCAGCCAGTCTGGCTGCTGCTCTGAGAGCAATGTGTGCAAAGTAAAAGTAACCATGCTTTGGAGCAAGGGCAGGGTGTGGAGTCTGGGCTGCTCATGGTTTCCCCAAGTGAGCCGTCTGGAGAGGTGAGCAGAGATGAAATTCTCCTTTCTGCCCTGCTGAAAAGGGACGTTTCTCTGCCCTGTGGGGCCTGAAATGGTGGGATGGGTGCATATGGGCTTAACGGCAGGGAGTATCTCTGCGTGCTTCCCCTAAGCAAGAGGAGCCCTGCGTGTATTTCAGGTCAAATTTTCTTGTCTTTTGGGGGATTTTTTTGGTATGATTTCAAAGGATTTGAGATCTGTGCGTGTTCAGTTTCAGTTAACACTTGGGCAGCTTGTCAGCAGCAAGCCTCTTGTGTGCTTGTGTGTGTGTAGATGCCTGGTTTGGGTGAGATCAGAGTTGGTCGCTCAGGTGAGGTTGCTTCTCTTTCAGCGTGAAGTGAAAGCATCCCTGCTCCCCCAGACGATCACCGTCTTGGTCCCTACAAGCAATAGGGTCTTTTGGTCTCACATTACTATTTCCCATCTCCAGCAGGTGGAAGCAACCCTCTTGCGAACTGCTCCATCTCCCAAGTTGCCAAGCTCCAGGGTTCTGCGTAGCTTGGTTATTGGTACCCCAGGTTCTTCCCTCTCCTGCTGGAATTCAGTAGTCATCTAGGGGTGCTGGAAACTTAGCTCCTATGCATGAAGAAAAGGTTATTCTCTTGTGTGAAAACAGATAATGGCAAGTGTCTGCACTGTATAATGAGTATTTGGGATGTGGTTAAATTCTGGCTTGAAGTTGTCTTTGATTTAGTAGTGTCAGGCTTTGTTCTTTAAAACAGACTTCATTAGTCTAAGGCTCTTTTTTTGCCTTGTGTATTTAGAAGTGTCCCTATCCATATTGTTCATAGCTAGGATGAAAAAGTACTCTGCTGAGGAAATGGTTGTTGAATGTTCTTTCATAAGTAGCTAAGAAGAAAAAAGTTACCTAGAACTCTTTGTTCTTTGAGGCTCATTCACTTCTCTGATCTATTCACTTATTTTAAGATGTTGCTTGTTAAGTCTGAAAGCTCTCATTGTGGGATAATTTGGGTACCATTTGCAAATGCCTCTATACTGGAGTACTAACACAGACCTTCTGGCAATGTGAAAGCTGATTTAGGAGAGTCCATCTTAAAAGTTTGGTGTTAGTGTCTTCCTCCTGAAATTGTGCAAGATATTAATTTGGTCTTGCTTGCAAGCAGCATTGCATTTCAGCAACATGCAAGCAACATTTGGGAAGGTGGACCTTGCAAGTAACCGTTGCATCACCCTTTTAAATCAGTGATTATTTGGAGCAGTGTACTTCACAGATTAAAAATATTCTCCTACTCCTGTATTAAGTTACAATGTGTTATTGTAACAAAACATAAATTACTTATGTTACAAAGAAGCAGGTTGCAGTCACTGAAACTTTGCTTTTGCAACAACTTACAGCTCCTTTACACTTGATAGTGGTGCTTCTTTCAGTGGGAGACATGTTCTTATCAATATAGGCAGGGTGTACTAAAGTGTCCCAAATAGGTTAAGTAGACTGTACTTTAATATGAATCAACGGGGCCTCAGAAAGACACAGGGGTTTTTTTTGTTTGTTTTGTTTTTTTAATTGAAAGGATAAGAAAATTCTTTCAGAATCAGTCGATTCTTTTCTAGATGCTGGTGAGGTGCTGCTGAGAGTCTTTGAATTTGATCACACTACGGATTAAAATAAAAAGGAGTGTCTGGAGTAATCTTATTAATGGTAATCTAACATCATGGAAATAGCAACTGAAGCAAGAGATTCTTAATGTCTGCCATGAAGAGTGTATCTTCTTCATCCAAGAAAAAATGATCAAATAGAATTTGCAAAAGAATGCAAACTAAGTTGAGATGCTAGATTGAGAATGTGATTAAGCTCTCAGTTTCTACAGGGTAGTGTCAGTCAAGCACAAATCTTGATAAGGACCATCTTTTCATGCTAGTTTCAATTTATTAATTTGGATTCTCTGTTTAGCATAAAACATATTAGGTTTTTTCTTTCTCATCCTGTTTGGGTTGTTCAGGATGTCAGTTTGTCATTCCTTGTATGAAACATTCATGTATATGTTTTCCTCACCAAGCTGCATTAACTTGGAACAGCAATTCTCCAAAGTAAACTGAAGGATAGGCTTATATAAATAATAACTTTCTTCATAACTGAGCCAAGAAGAATTTCCTCCACAGACTTGTCAAAATAACAGGTCTGTCTTCTATTTTAACCTTTTTTTCTTGAATTTCATAGGTTTTCTAAAGAAACATATTGCTATTTATTAGTCTTAATATCAAAGATGCTTACGAAATTCAGAAGTAGTCTTGTGCCTTGAGCATCTTCATTTTCCTTAGGTTGCTGTTCCTCTGCTATCGCTGGATACAGTTTTTACAGGATTACATGTCCTGAATGCGTAGACAACAGGAT